CCCGTCTGCCAGGGGCGGGAGGGGGGGTCCTGCCCTGGGCAGCCCCTGGCAGGAGCTGTGCAGTCCCCGCAGCATCGCTGTGCCTCTGCTCGGTAACCTCATCTCCCTGTTCACTGAATAATGGAGTGAAACCTTAGCTGTGCAGCTCCCAGCCTGGAAATAAAACTGTCTGCACCACAAGGGCAGTGGGCACCACGTAAACCCCACCTTCACCTAAAGCTGGTGAGCGTCTGTGTGGTGCCCAGCACACAGGGGTCTGGGGCTGGGCTGGAGCGGGCAGAAAGCGCTTGCCTGCAGCATGCCGTTACTTTTAAAGGCCAAACCAGGGCAACATTTATTGCCGTGACGTGAAAATAGAAGAGAACAAATCCTAACGGAGTGGAAGAAACGCTGCTCCCTGGGCAAACAGAGGCAGCGAGGCCGGATGGGAGCAAACGCCAGGGATTCGTGCCTGTGCGAGAAGCGGAGCGTGGGCACGGCCGCAACCTCTTTGCATCTCGGCTGTCTCCGTCCGGAAAAGCGGGATCCATCCAGGCTCAGGAGGCTCCGGCTCTCCCAGCCGCCAGGCCCCGTCCCGTGGAGGAGCTTCTGTCCCTCAACACCCACGATTCACACACTTGTGGGTTTTAAAGAGGCTCTTCCTTTTGGCAGCCTTGTAGTTGAAAGCGGAAAATGACACGGCTCTCCCTCGGAGCCAACGGCTGTATCATTCATCATGATATCTTTTTTTTCTTTTTTTAAATTAAACACCAAAGAGGACACCACAAAGGCGAGCACCAGCTGGGCTGCTCACCGTGACCTCCAGTTTCGCTCCGGCTCAGGAAGTTGCTCACAGCCAGTTTCTGTGTTTTCAGGGCGGGTAGATTGACAAATCGGAAATCTATGACATGCAATAGCTGATAGCGCGTGATGCATTTCCCCCTGCCCGGTGAATTATTTGAGGCTGCACTTTATTTAATATTCTCATGCCTGGGATTTCAGCGTGCGGCATCACAGATGACATCAGACAGAAAAATTAAGCAATTCTCCTTATTTTAGGAGCTTATTTAGTCCAGATATTTTAAGTTGTGTTTTTGGCCCAGTATCCAAGCGCTCTTTCTTCAATCTAAATAAATGTCTCCCATTAAAAAAAACAGGCAAAACAAAACAAACCCCAAACCCAGCAGATGTGGCAAGCCCCGCGGTTGTTCCAGAGCAGAAAGCAAACCCAAGCACGTTTGCCAGGCCCCGGCCGCCCACTGAAATGAGCTTGTGAACACCAATAATAAAGAACACTTGGGCAGCGCTTGATGTTTGCAGACCGCGGGACAGCTTGCGATGGGGCCGTAGGGAGGGCGTGGGGTGAAGGAGGAGACCCCCCCCTCCCTTTTTTTTAAGTGAGGGTGTTGAGGGTTGGGGTTCGGGGAGGTGAAGTTGGGAGGTCAGGGGAGAACCGAGCTCAGCTTTTCCCTGATCTCGCACACCTTTTCCAGACGCCTCTCCCGTGCGGCTCTGCAGGTGATGGGGGGGTTCACACCCCGCTTGCACCCCTGGAAGGCAGGGGAGGGCACACGCTGCAGTGTGTTCAGGATGCCGCTTTGCCTGCTGAGCGTCAAAGAGTCACGGACCAAATTCCCCCTTCCTCGAGGAGCATTTTCACCCCTAACACCCCATACGTCTCCTACCACATCTCATCCCTGCTTTCCTTGCCTTAGCCAGGTTTTTCTTCTGGCTTCCACCATGCCCACGAGCCCCCTCAGCCCTCTGCTCCTGGGGAGTTAAATAACCCCTCGGGTGCCTCTCCAACAACCCAGCCTGGAGCTCCGCAGCCTCGCTGCCCAGCGAAGCAGCAGCAGTTTGGGATGCTCCGACGCTAACAGAGCTGCTGGTGGGAGAAACGATAGACTGGGCTCCTGCTGGGACTCGCTGGGAGCTGTGGAGGAGGCTGGAAGGGACCAGCGTCGGTCGCCCGCGGTGCCTCCTGCTCTGCCCTGGCTGTTCAGCAAGCAGCAGGGCGATGCGATGTGCTGCTTCCCTTCTTTTCCTAGTTCTGCTTTCCCAGCAGCTCTGCTCCCTGCCCAAGGCGCTCAGCCACAGCTCTTGTGCCATCTGCCGACCGATGGCCACTGGCTCCGTGGCCTCGTCACACCGCAGCACCCACCACCCAGCACCCATCCTCTCCCCTCCCCCAGCCCCGGGTGCCTCCTGCCCTCTCCTCGCTCCTGCTGCCACATCCTGCCCAGCCCTGGTTTGAAAATATCCCCAGGAAATGGCCAAAATGCCAGAAAGCCCAAAGGTGAGAAAATTCTGCTCCGTGGTCATCCCCACTGCGGCCACCCAGATGGCACCAAGGGCAGAGAAGGACGGGGAGAAGCTGCACCCCGGCTGCGTTCAGACCCCTTTTCGCAGGGAGACAGGGCAGAAGCAGGAAGGGGCTGGCCAAAATGTCCAGGTATAGAACCACTTGGGTGGGAAAAGGTCTTTAAGAGCAGCAAGTCCAACCATAAACCTAACACTGCCAAGTCCAAACGCTGGGACGGGGCAGCCCAGCAGCTGCAAAACCTCCGTGGGGAGACTCGGCTCTTGCTCAGCACCTCCAGCCACCGGCCCCGGCGATCGCCCCAGCACAGCCCTGCACGCCGAGGCTGTAACACGCACACACACACACATGTGCAGAAATCTGTCTGCCCGCTGCAAACCAGAGGCCTGGACCCACGGTGGTGGAAACGCACGGGGGAAGGAGCAGGCAGTCCTGGAGATTTGACGAAGGATGCTCCCTACGGCTGGCCCGTCAGAAAAAGTGACAGACAAATACCCAGAATGGGACTTCGTGAGGTCAAATTTCCTCCATCTGCCAGCACTGGGCGACACTGAATTATTCATGAATTTTTCACCAAAATAATCCTTTTTAAAAATAACTCCCCTGCTTAAAAGAGGTGGAGCGAGCTTTTCACACTGACTGGTATTTTTATCGGTGACACAGCAAACCCCCAAACCTCAGCAACTCCTGCCCCACACCCCCTCCGACCCCTCCTCTCTGACAGACTGCTGAAGGAGCACGGGGGGACTTTTTCCCCCCCCCTTTTCAGTGCTCAGCTTTGGACTTTGGAGCGGCAAAGCTGCACATCTCCAGCGTCCAAGCAGAGGGCACTGCTGTCTAATGAGTCAGGCCAGGGCTCTGCTGCGGTTGAAGTCAATCCCAAAGTCCTTCTGGCACAGGAAACTTCTCCCGCTAGCAGATACTGCTGTGGCAACAGCTGAGAAACCCCCTCCCCATTTATTCCCTTGATTTCAACAGGTCCCCCCAAAAATCCAGAAATAATAGATATATAAATGATGACAAGACCCCGCCCAGCAGAGCAGCCAGGAGCAGAGCACCAGGGAAGCGCTGGTTTGTCTCCGAAGGGTAAGAGCTGGCTAAAATGTGGAAAAAAGAGGTAACCAGCGGGCAGGAGATGACAGCCTGCCCCAATTTTGGCCTTTCAGCCTCTCGCCCGTACTGCCCGTGTTTCATCACGTCAAGGTGTCCTCACACCCTGCCCGCACCCACTGCCTCCGCAGAGACATGGCTTTCGTCCCGGAGCCAAGCAGAAAGCGGATTCTCCGCGAAAACTTGCTAAAGTTTATTAGAAAGCTTTGGTGAGGGAATCTGCTTCCCTCACCCGCCTGCCGCTCACTCGCTGCCATCGTTTCCATCTTCTCTGCTTTTTGTTTTATTTCACTGATGAAAAAGGACAGAAAGCAGCTGGGGGAAAAAAGAAGAGGATGCAGAAAACGCCTTTAAGCATAGTTTCAGCTGCATCAAAGCATTTGCAGACCCCTTAGAGACATCTGTACATGGGCTCTGTGCTTGCAATCCCACGATGCATCCAGCTCACTCATTATTCCCCCTATTCCCATTTATATTCCTGTTTTTCCCATTATTGCATCATTCTGAGCATTTTAAACCCAAAACCTTCTGGCAGGGTAGGAGTGCCTCGGGAGGGCTGGCTGCCCCAGTGCAGTCCCGGCAGCCAGGGTTGGGTTTCCAGGGCCTCGGATGCTCCCCCGACATCGCATTGGGATCCTGATGCGTCCCTGCGATAGCTGCCAGAAATCAGATACTTTGGGAGCCGTGGCTGTGCTGCTGCCATAGAAATCCTCCCGTTCAAACGCCCGCCGGCGGCTAGAAGCAGCTTTCTCCTGATTTCACCTAACCTAGTTAAGAAGAGGAGTAATGTCCCTGGAGAGTTGTAACAAAATTAACTTGCCAGTCAAAAAACAGCTGATGATTTATGATTGCTTGTGATAGATCCTCTTAGTCTTCTTCCCAGAAATCCCCCAGTGGCCTCTCACTGCCAAAACGCAGAGGCAGAGAGGTCCCCTCCATCCCCAGCGCAGTGGGAAGGGCCCAGTTCCTCACGGATGTCGGTGTCCAGCACACCGGGGAAGCTCCCGGGCATGGGGCAAGCAGCAGGGCAGAGGC